CACCCCCACCCACCCCACACCCACCCCACACCCACCCACGCCCACTCCACACCCACACCCACACCCACCCACACCACCCCACCCAACAAATTATTCGAGCACTACAAACAAGAAATTTTGAATTACCATCATATGCACAAATGAAAAATTTTCGTGTTCACTATAAAAAAAAGAAATTTGGTTCATATATTGTAAGTTTAGGTGAATTAGAACAATGGTGCAAACAGAATGTTGATATTCCAACTGATGAAAATAAATATTTTGTTGTTTCATATAAAATAATTTACGATGATGAAGAAGATGATGACGAGGAAGATATTAATGGAAATATATTTCGTGTATTTTTATCATCTGTACGGTTGTTGAACATTGCATCAATATCATCACATGTACATGCTGATGCAACATATAAATTAATTTGGCAAGGATTTCCAGTACTTGTAATTGGAACAACTGATTTGAAGAAGGTTTTTCATCCATTTGGTTTAGCTATATGTTCCAATGAACAAACGAAAGATTTTGAATTTATTTTTAATAGTGCACAAATTGGTTTGAAAAAAATAAATAAAAATTTACTTAAACCATCAGCATTAATATCTGATGCAGCTGACTCGATTAAAAATGGTTTTAAGAATGTATACGAAGGTGATTATAATCAAATCATGTGTTGGTCGCACATGAAAAGGAAGGTTCAAAATCGTATTTGCCATATAGATGATAAAGCTATTGCTGATGAAATAATGAATGATATTGAAATGCTTCAATTATCTTATTCAAGCGCTGTATTTGAATTAGCATTAAAATTGTTTATGAAGAAGTGGAAGATGAACAACAGGCAAAAAAATCAATCAATAATAGAATTTTTAAATATTTCGATAATGAATGGATCCAAACAAATGGTGGCTGGTATTGAGGTATTCAACTTTATACACCTTCCACCAACAATGCCCTAGAGGCAACCAATAAAGTAGTAAAAGATGATGGTACATTTAGAGAACGTCATGTTCTATCAAGATTTTTAGTGGTAGCTTCAAATATAATTAATAATTGGTCAATTGAACGTGATCCATCTTCAATAAATACAAAACTTTTTGCTACAGAACCAACAATTTGTTTAAATTTATGAACTATATCTTATCAATGGGCAAAATCATCAAAAAATGTTATTTGTATTAAAAATGATGTTTCAAACAAATATTACATACCAGCTGGCAATTTAGAATCTATTTCACAAGGTGATTTAAATAAATACGTAAACAAAAAATGGACAACTTTCAACCAGTTTATGAAGTCTTTTGATATTTGGTGTGTAGAAATTAAGAATGATTCAGATTGGAAAACATCAAGATGCACCTACCCAGCTTTTCTTAAAAACTACATTTGCAAACATATCATCGGGATGAGTATTCGTTTAAAACTTTGTAAACCACCACCGGCAGCAAAAAACGTGCTGATTGGTGAGAAAAGAAAGAGAGGTCGACCAGCAAAAGCAAGACGTGCTTTACTAATGCAATAATTTATTTCTAATTTTCCTCATTCTATATTACAAATTGCCAATAATTTTCATCTTTTTTACCGGTAAAATCTGTCTTATTTACGTATCAAATTTTCATTTTTTACTTATCAAATTTCTTTTTTTTACTGGTACAACTGATATTTTTTTACTGCTATTCTGTATAATAAACTGATCATTTTCATATTGGTTTCTGGTAATCTAAGTACTGATCATTCAATATCTTAACTGATCATTCAACCTTTAAACTGATCATTTATATACTATTTTACTGGTACTTTCATCCATTTTACAGATCAAATAATTTGTTCCCGAAAAAAAAAGCATCACCATTTACCTTTTTAACTTTTGTTAAGATTTCTATTCAAACATTTTAAAGTAAATATGTTGAGATATGAAGAAATGATTAGTCACTGTTTAATGAAAGCATTTATTCAACTTCTACTTGAGATTAATCGAATAAAAACGGGTAGGTGTGGGTGGGTTGTGGGTGGGTTGTGGGG